TCCAATTATAGCACAATCAATATTATTCCAGGCAGTATTGTCATTTCTTCTGGGGAAACATTGATCATGCACGAAAAAAGTTGAAAATTGACCGAACCTGCATAATTTGTGAAAGTTCTACGCCTGTTAATCTACACCAATCGAAAGACTTGGATTCATGGAACACTTTGTACAATGCTGCGGTACTGAGAAAATTTGAACCCATAATGAAACTGCAAGAGACGTTAACTGACCAAGAAATTCCTGATATTTACTACCATAAAGAATATCACAAAAGTTTCGTCCACAAAAAAAATCTTGAAAGAATTGTTCGCGCCGCAGATAAAGGTCCTTCACATACTTCAATAATTTATTGAAGCGTTCAGCAAATTAGGCAGAGATTGGGTGCGGTCTGATAATGTTGATAACATCATAGAAGAAGTCGTTTGCCAGTTGTATGCCCGCCAATGCAAGGTGAAATCTGTTGATGAGCTGCGCTATCAGATGTTCAGAGGAAAGAAGGGTCAAATTGAAAGCTTTCAAATGCCTTCTTGTAAAGACACTTTGAGTCATCACAATAAACGTGCCAACTATCAAGCCGGAATTTGGCTCAGAAGCCTGGAAACCAAACTGCTAATCCCAGATCCTTTCTCTCATGGGTGGGAAATAAAGGACATATCAGGTGACTTATCTGTCAAGTGAATGGAAGGCTTGCCAGCACCGGAGTGCATACTCTCCTTTCTGCGGTGCCACTGCAAGAGCAACTGTGCACCAGAAACTTGCTCGTGCTTAGCAACTCAAATCCGATGCACCGAGAGCTGTGGGTGCAAGGGGTGTACCAAAGAAACAGCAGATGAGGAAGAGTGTAATTATAATAACTATAATAGTGATTCTAGTGAGGAAGATTGAATCCAAATTTTTTACTGATATTTATGTAAGGCATGCATAAGTCGTTCTGATTTCTTATTGTTTGATTGTTTTGTTCAATGTTCTCGATATCTACCTAAGTTGTTCTACTTCTTTCGTCATTCAATTACCTCACTTTATTTAAGTTCATTGACAAGTTGCTGTTCAATACCGAGATATTAAAAGTTGACAGTATATGACTATTATTGATTATTATTGTTATCCATATTCCAGATAAATTATATAATTATTGTTGATGATAGTTATTAGTTTAGGTGATTGAAAATCATGTTACAAAAATAATGCACCTTATTAGGTGATATGAAACCATCTAGTGGTCGATTGTACGCTTCCCGCTAGGCAGAATTGAGGGCTCGGTCAACGCGCTCAACTCTGCTCCGCCCGCTTTCAATCTGGATATTTTGCGTTCTATTGATCCGATCTTTGATTTCTTGCCAATGTTTTGAAGCTAAGATATTCTTCTACAACTTTCATATTCAGTACATTTCCGATATACTCAACCGTTAGTCCAATAAACGACATAACGTAAATTTCAAAAACCTCATTTTCCGATTTTTTGAATTTTGGCACATAAATATTGATTTTTCAGCCTTGAGTATGGGTAACAAAAATGAAGAACGCAGAATATCCTATATTTTGAGTGGAAGAAATTCGAATTTGATCCACTCAATCCTGAGATAATTGCATTCACATATTCACATTCGTCCGCCATTTTGAACGGCCGCCATATCTGAAAGCTACCTCCTCATGATGCCCCCCCCTGACTTTTTTGTTCAATATGACCCTAGTAACACGTGGTATGAGTTTCATTCAGTCCCCCCAAATTATAATGACTGATGGGTCTGGCACAAGGACTATATTACATTATATTGAAATCTGAAAATCATCGACGTGAAATTTGCAGTTTTTAACAGTAGGGACACCTGCGTCGTTGTAGGCATCTTTATCATTCTTTTGAAGTAATCAAATATCTGATGTCACTTCTGTCAGTCTAATTCTGTGATTTGATTTCAAAAAATTGCGAATTCAGTGCTCGTTTAGTAATATACGTAACCGTGAAGTCGAATGGAAGATAAAAGGACTTGCAGTTCTTTCTCGGAGGCGGTATTATTGACTCATTTTTCGGAACTATAGCACAACAAGAGCCGTCGACAGTGTATATATATGTGAAATATATCCGGGAAAAAGTACTCACTTTTTTCCCACGAGAAAAAAAGGAATTTATGAAAAGTGACATTTTATAACCTACCAACAGAGATGAAATGCCAAACTTTCTTCTCGTCACAGAAAAAAGGTATATTCCATAGCTACTGGTAAAAAAAATTGATTAGCATAACGAGTTAACGGATACTTAGGTCAATATGTTTCGAATGTTCGTGAAATACTCCTTATTCTGACTTCTCGCTCAGAAAAGGCTGCTTGTATATGTGTTGAATGAACAAACCCCTCAATAAAAATTAACAACTCATGTGGAATTGAATACTTGTAGTGCGAGCACCACAAATCGTAAAATTGAGTGCAAATTATCGCACAGGAAAGAGCAATTTTTTGATCATTTTGTTCAGGATAGTAATTGGCACAGGTGCCGTTCGATAAAATACAATGCTTTCACGTATCATAAGATGACGTTCAAAACTTGCACATTCGCTCATGGACTATCACATTAGGGTAGATACTATGATATACTGGAGAATGTTGTTTCATCTTCCATGATGGCACGACAGGAAGATATCAACTTGTTGAACAAATCATCTGAGACATATTATAGGGCAGTATATCCAGCATACCTCAATTAGTATTTGATTTAAATACTTATGATGGATAATAGAGATGGAAGAACCGAGCAAAATTGTTGTATTGATATTTATTTTTATTGGTATAAATAAATCCAGGAGCTTGCAGTGAGAAATGCTTGTTCTGGTTATATTCAGGATATCTTTGGATGATGCTTGCTGTAAGAAATTAATGTACGTGCCATGTTCGATATATCAGGGTCCTCGCAGAATAGAATGCTTGTTCATAACCCGTTAGAGATAACCATACATAGGTAGTTTAAGTTAGGTTAGGTTCTATGTGAGTGGGTCGAATACCACCCCTCCACTGCGACCCCAGATGGGTCACTGTACAATCAACTTTTTTTATGAAGCCTATAGGTGAATGGGGTGAGAATTGTCTGAAATCGATATTTTTAAAATTGATAAATCCGAAAGTATGTCGAACCTTATTCTCTTTGAGCAAGAGCATTAACATAGTATGTGTTCAGCCGTTCCGTCTTCCACACAGCAAAACCGACAGTCCGTTTAATGGTTCAGACTCATCCTTCCTAGGTGGTATCTTAGACGTCAGTGCCCCGTGAGCAGTCCTGTCAGAATTTGCAACTTACCCCTGCTTCATTCTAGGATCTGCCGGGTCTTTTTATTCGTTGGTTCAGGCAGGAACGCCTTCGAATGGGTTAACTCTGGTAATCCAGACCGTGAGAAGGAAAGTCTTTTACCCTCCGCCAATCCAAGATAGTTGTTTTGGCCTCACTTGCGGAGACTCCAAAGTATGTTCCCATAAACACCGATTCGGTTCCCTGTTTGGCGAGGATGTAGGCTTTCTCCACCTTGTCCCCTGACGTCCATGCACCCACAACAGAGTGACTCTGTTGTTAGCACCCAGGCATTCTAGGGATTCAATACAGCTCCATACAAGCTTGGAATTCATCTTGCTAGAGCTCTCTGCTTTAAAAGCAGCCTGACTGGCTGATACAATACTGAAGTTTTTGTTCACTTGAGGTTTATTCGTCAACTCTCCAGCACACAATCCAATTGCGAAGACCTCCGCCTGGATGATTGTAGCATACTCACCCAGATTGACTGAAATTTTAGTCTTTGGTCGTCTGCTGAACATACAGTCTCCAACCACAAACAGGGTTTTCGAACCATCTGTGTACATTACGTGTTCGGTCTCTGGGAATTAGATTGATCCTCTTACCCACTCGTCTCTCTTTGGAAATGGGTCTTTGAAATGCTTTTTTACGTGTGTCTGAGTGGCGAACCATTCCTAGAGTTTGGTGAATTTTTTATTTCACGCAGTATGCTGGAGTGGTCCAGCACTCGCCCTCCTCTGATTTGATTTTTCAATGACAGGAATCTATAGGAAATCATCCTGGCTTTCCTCTCCTAGACAATGTGAAGGGAAATGAGGTTCAGGAGGTTTTCCATCGCCGCCGTTGGAGTGGAGCCGCTGAACGTGATCATTGGTTTCACCATTGTCTGGTTAATCCAATGAATCTGTTTGGGGTTCATTCCACAAGATTTGCCTCGAAAACCGCTCGAAGAAGACCATCTTTCGTCTTGTTCGACAATTTTCTGAAAGGATATTGCCGGAATATCTTTTTGTTGGCTGGGTAGGAATTCGCACTGATGAGAATTATTTCAATTCCAAGGTGAAATCTTCATGATGTTTTTCGGATGACGTCGCAGGAGGACTTCGCATTATGGTCCTGAAGATTACTTCTTAGAGATCTCGTGGAGAGAATTGTGTTACCAGAGAAACTGGAGTAGAAAGGATCTAACGAAGCATTCCATGTCCCGTAGTTTGCATTTGGTATAGAAATGACCACTACATATATGAAATCATCAATAATGTACTACAAAATAGCATATATTTCCAAAGTGAAAAAGAAGTAACAATATAATGAGGAAAAAACTCAGTCATTTTCACAAAACGTTATTGAAGTGATAATCTTTGGAAGGTATTATGGCATGATAGATTTCACAAAACGGGAATATATTTATTTGTCAGAGATACCAGACAGCTGTTTCGCTCTACCAGTGCTCGTTAGCGGTACTTGGTCTCTGACAAATGAACATATACCAATACCTGAGACCATATAACCGTCCAAGCAATCTTAGTCGGTAAGATGGAAGCAACGACATCTCGAAAAGTACGACGTGATTATATAGTGAGTATACTCGAATTAGTACCATTCTCGCGATGCCGAATACAATGCAACGATTCGCGTGGCACCTCAAGTAGTTATAGAACTACAACTCATTCAATACATTTCTGTGGCTAACCAGAATTTTCATGTATGAATATTGTTGCAGTTGACCGAATCCTGTAGCCATGGCAAGAGCTGGAAACTATTTGCAAAAAGCATAACAATTCCAGATCCTTTACTAGCCTGTAAGGATAAGAAGGATAAAAAGCAGTGTGAAGATGGTGTTCCTATGGGGGAGCCAACACCCTCCCATGCAAGGGGGACTTATTATTTGAAAACTGATTGATGAATCTGGATGTATTTTTCATTTAATAATGAATTTAGCGGGTAGTTTATTATACCAATGTTGTGTTTTTGTAATGTTTCCATGTAATTCTTATATATGAAAAAACTACAATCATCAATAATGAAGATAATACATATTTCGGAACCAGTGGCAATCTATTTTGTGGTTGTGGAATATTGTGAAATGAACGACATTTTTTAAAAAAATCACTTATCGTACAATAATTATGGATTTTATAAACAATTATGATAATAAATAGGGACTGTCGGTCTTGGTCATGGTTTTGGTCTTGGTCTCGCGAAGCCCTAATTGTTGAGGCATTTTTTATTGTTGGTGAACAGATTTCTTCAATGCAAATGAATTAAATGATTTCCATCCTCACTTGTTCCATCTATGCAGATTCATTCTGGTCGAATGGAAATATAAGGTCTGTTAGTTTGTGTTGCTGAGCTGGCTAAAGTTGATTTTGTTTCCATAGTTGTTTCTGTTCATGGCATGATGTTGACAGAGAACGTTATAGACAAAAATCAAGTTCAGCTGGTAGAGCAATCACAAACGAACAGGCCGATAACTTCAAATAACCCCGAGGCTATTTCCAATGATAAAGCCATGCCGAATATCACGTGAGATCAATTGCGAAAAGTGCATCCCAAAAACTTGGTTTTCTGTTTCGAGCCAGGTGCTATATATTTAACTTCCATTCAGCTACTTATGATCTATAAGGCACATATCCGACCTGTCCTGGAATACTGTTTCCATATTGGAGTGCAGCACCCAAACATACCCTGAAACTGTTTGATTCTGTCCAAAAAAGGGCAATTCGTTTTGTGGGTGATGTCTCGCTCACAAACTAACTCACTTCTCTGGAAAACCGTAGACAAGTTGGCGATCTGCCTCTATTTTATAGATATATAAAGTGGAAAATTAACTTTCTCAATATATCTTGCCAAATGCGATTATACTCAAAATGAAGTGTCGATCGTTTTCGGCAGCAGTGCCATCACCAGGAGAGATAATTCATGTTGAAATCTGGAATTCTTCTTCTGAATATCGTTGCCAGGTAGGTTATCATAAATAATATACAAAACGAACTTGTTGACACGTTTTAATATCTGTGAGTTCTCTTCAAATAATCAATAAGTAAACCATATGAAGGAAAGAACTACATTTCATGAGATATAATGCTCTGTTTAACAAACAGAGAAATATAGCAAACTGTTGAACATACTTCGATAAGTGCAGAATTTGCAGTGGGTGTTCATTACTGTTGAGTGTAAATTTCTTCGATAGTGCTTGATACGTTATTCTGATTCTATTCCCAACCAAAGATGAAGGTGGATCCATTCCTACTACTGTTTAGAGAATGGCCAATCAGGATGACTTTCTAACCTGAAAATAATAATTGGGAATGTGAATTATTCTCCTCAGGAACTAAAAATGCCAAAATCAATGGATATACATGGAAAGTATTAGACTTTGAGTGTATTGATTTCTTTCTTCGATGATGAAACTCACACTGGAAAGAATCTGAAGTCACAGATACGAGCTTTCTCTCCAATTTCGAGTCCTTTCAAGCTGGCCATATCTTCGGCATCCAGACTAAAATCGAAAATATCGATATTCTCCTTTATTCTGGAAGGAGTGACGCTCTTCGGAATGGCAACAATGTTGTTTTGTACGAGGAATCTTAACATCACTTGTCCACTGGATTTGCCGTGTTTCTTAGCAATGCTCTTGATGAGTGGATTCTGCAGTAAGTTGGGCAATTCTCTTGCTCTGAAATCAACAGAATATTTGTATTAGTCACAAACTTTGATATTGAATCATGGAATGACTATGCTGTAGGTAACTGTTTTATCTCTGGCTTTTGGGTAGTAAGTATAAGAAATGTTTTGAGTTGATAATAACTATAGCTATTAATTGTGTATCCAGAGCGCAAACAGATAGATTGCCACTCGATGAGAGTAGCGGAGCGATATAATGTTTAGAGAGTTGTATATAACACTATTTGAAATACACGTAGACCGCTGACTTTAGACACCCTATTAATTCACATTAGTTCATATATTCCCTCATTGTTATATTTCTCTCCTAGGATATTTGTGATGAAGTGCTATTATTTATTACTAGCAGACCTCGCGGACGTTGTTTTGCTCTACAGTCTGTCCAAGATAAGGTTGAACAGCATGGGGATCTCGGAAACAGTAGGAGATACGAAGTCGCTTGAAAAAGGAAAAAGTTGCGCATTCGGAGGCTCATATCAAGAGCCCTCGAAAATTTTCAAAATAATTAATTCTAGTTTTTGAGTTATATCGAAAAAGGTGAATTTTTGAAATATCTATTTTATATTTTTCCTCCGTTATTATTAGAGATACAGAAGAACTGAAAATACTTTTTCGTAGCAACTTTTGATGATGTTTAACGTGGTGATACCGATCTTTTATGCGACGTTTCGTATTCGTAGAACCATCATCAACTTCGGTTTTTTAAATACGGTCCTGGTAATTTTTTCACAGATTCCAGAAGGATTTTCTATTCTGGATTCAACCATGTGTTGAACAAGGTGATTTGAATGTGTTTCGACCTATTTCTATCCATCATCAATGTTTTTTCAAACTTCCAAAGGAAAAGTGCCATCAGTTCCACTTATTTCTGATCATTTAGAGTCAAACATTGATGGATTAGTTATTCAATACTGAGAAGTGAATAAAAAATATTTCACATCATTTAATGCAGCTCTTAAAATTGTTGATGAATTCTTACACGAATTACTTTAACAACTTGACTTTGACAATATCTACAAAAACATTCATAACAAATGTTCAAAATGATTTTCTGAACAAAGATATCCTCTTCTCACAGTTACTTCTAAGACATTAATAAGCATTTTTGGGGTTATTATATTGAATGCTTCGATGACACTGTCCCTCAATTCTTCTTCATCATCGAAGTTATTTGCGTAAACGAAATTTCTGATATATCCCCTAAGAAAAAATCCAGCTGTGTCAAATCAGGCTACCGCGCCTGCCGAAGGACTGTATGATGGCTAAAAATAGATCGAAACACACATAAACCACCTTGTATAATACATGGTTGGATTCCGAATGAAAAAACCTTTCAGAATACGAAACGTCGAATGGAAAAATCGGTATCACCACGTTTAACGTCATCAAAAGTTGCTATATAGAAGTATTTTTAGTTTTTCTGTATCTCTAATAATGACGGGGAAAAAGAATAAAAGAGATATTCCAAAAATTCACTTTTTTTGATATAACTCAAAAACTAAAGATAATTTTAGAAATTTTCGAAGGCTCTTGATACGAGCCTATGAGCTTCTTCTGGTTCTTAGCTACCCACTTATTTTCAGCCAAATCGATCTAGTAGTTTTGGAGCCTATTCAATACATACAAACAAACAAACTAACAAACAAACAATCAAATCTGATCTCTTTATAATATTAGTATTGATTGTTGACGAGAGATTGTTTTGTTTAATGAATAAATAAATCAATGTTTGCATCTCCGATTCTCAATCTGTTAATCAACCTTCTACGAACCCACTTTGGGTCATTTCAATAAATATTATTTCAGATAACAACCAAAAGAGACAAACCGGGAAATCTGCCTGTATTCTCCTGAACGGAGGCAATAATAGAATTGCTCTGTTCAGTTGATAAAGATGGTATTCACTACTAAAAACTGAATATGAAAATGATCAATTCGAGATCAATTGATGAAAATATTCTATTTGATACATAAGTTTAAGATTTGTTATTAATTTCACAATTTGACTGAATTTTTTTCACACTGTATTTTTTTTTCAGTGAATGTTCATTCATTCAGATTTTCCGAATCCAATTTTGTATGTTGAGAGAAAAATAATCATGTTGAAATTTTAGACGGGTACCTAGTTACCTACTTATTCATTTCGAATTGACTATACATCTGACTCAGTAGTTCTTGTGAATTGTTTATAATACCTACACTATTCCACTATGTGATATGCACACATGAAAATTAGTAGAACATTGTATACTCACTCCATTCCAACAGTCTCTAAGAACTTATTATAACTTGGATTTCCCAATGGAGAGTAGGCTGTCACGACCATGTTATTTTTGTGGCAGAACTCTACCAAATCCCTTTGTTGCAAAGACAAATGCAGTTCGATTTGTAAACAGGCAGGCTTGATTCTTGCAGCCTTGAGCAATTTCTCTATTTGGCTCTGGTTGAAATTGGACACTCCAATCGCCCTCGTTCGGCCTGCATCAACTTGTTCCTCCATTTTCTGGAAAAAAGAGAAACTATAAATTATGGAAATTATCTTTGCTATCTGTGGAAGTTAACGGAGTCATCTCTTCAACTAAATGCAAAATTAAACGTATGGTAGAAAAAGAAATGAAGTATCAGTCAATGTCTTCACGTTTGTCAGAGCATCTGTCTGAATAAAAGTAATTGAAATAATATATCTGCGTTTATATCGTATTGTACTCAAAGATAACTAGTACAAGTGGTCCTTCGAGCTAAGCCCAGTTGCCCAGAAAAGACAATTTGAAAAAACCGTGATGTCAGAAGAAAATAGACGACGTAGTCAAAGAGCGAATTTCGGGGTTCCTCCTCAAAGGCTTGGCGCTGAGAATATAGAAGGGTTTCCTGGGAATGCATTACAAGTTTCAGAAGTCCAGGAGATCCACAGCCATGTCCTTGAGAGATCTATAGCTGAGAACAAGACTTTATCTGTTAAGTCTGTAGCCTTATCTCGTGTGAGTAATCATAGTAGACTAGAAGAAATCCAAGCAAGAAAAATTGAGGTAGAGAAGAGATTGTTGCAGTTGGAGATGGCTCAACTAGCTGAGGAAGAAAAATCTATCAGACGATCACATTCTAGCGTGAGAGATCTAGAATTCAATGAAGAAAAAAAATGATGATATTCACCTCCCTCCTGATGACATGAACTGTAAGTCATATGTAAATGCCTGGTTAGAAAATACAGAGCGAGAAAATCATACATCTCATCAACAAGATCATAATATTTCGAGAACATTGGTGGAATGCATGAAAGATTTAAATATGAATTTAAATAAAATTGTGACAAAACAGTCCGTCAGATCACTAGAAGATTTCAGTGGTGATATATCAGAATTTCCTTTCTGGCTGAAAGAGTTTCACAGAACTACTGAAGAGAAGCAAATATCTGATTCTGATAATTTGTATCGCCTGCAGAGATGTCTGAAAGGAAGTGCTCGTGAAGCTGTGAAAGAATTATTATGTAGCCCGGATAATATTACTAATATAATAAATAATTTGAAATTGAACTTTGGTAGAGAAGAATGGATTATTATAAATCAAATTGAGAAAGCTAAACGTTTTGGTAATCTCAAAGAAGATTCTTTAGAGAGTTTTATGCAATTTTCCAACATTGTATCAAATATGGTAATTTCTATAAAGAATGTAGGATCTGGTAAATATTTGGAAAATCCTGAATTGTTATTGAAATTGGAAGGAAAATTACCAAGCAATCCCAAGAGATCATGGGCGCAAGAAAAATTGGTGAAACGTCGTGAAAATGTGACGGCGAATTTGGAACATTTTGCGGAATGGGTACAATCAGAAGTACAGATGATGATGGAAGTAAGCATTCCTAGTCAAGTTTCGAATGCCCAAAATCATTTAACGAAGAAAAACAGCGGACAACAACTTGAAAGAAGAGGATTCTTCCATGCTGTTGAAAATTCGTTCCCCAGTTGTTGTATTCTTTGTGATAAAGATTATCATAGATTGAGCGAATGTGAAGTTTTTCTGAAATATAATGTTGAGGAGAGGAAGACATTTGTTCAAAATAACAGATACTGTTTTCGCTGCCTGAAATTTGGACATTTAGCTAAGAAATGTTATAGCAAAATTCTGTGCAATGTCAATGCTTGTAAACGAAGACATCATCGTCTCGTTCATGAAGTTTTCACAAACATGGGAGATAAAGATCACCAATCTGAAAACGAAGTGGTAGGATTTGCAAAAATTGAAAAGTCAAAATTGGAGAAAACAGAAGAGTTGATAGAAAATGAGAAATCGAGACAGGAGGTAGTAGCATTTTTGAAAAATCGATCTTCAATTCTGAAGATAGCTAGAGTCAGGTTAGCTAGTGATCATACATGCATCGAAACACATGCACTTCTTGATGAAGGATCAACAATTACTCTAGTTGACTCTGAAATTATTGAGGAACTCAGGCTACTAGGTCAAAAAACACCCATCTGTCTGCAGTGGGCAAACAATATCAGTCATCAAGATGATAATTCAATGTTAGTTAATTTTGAAATTTCACAACCAAATGATAACAAGAAACTATATCAGATCAGAGATGCTAGAACTATTAGGAATTTGTGTTTACCAGAACAGAAACTAAATATAGACTACCTCAAATCTAAATACAGTTATATTGATCCCTCTGTATTAGAACTGGTTGCAAATGCAAAACCAAAGTTACTAATTGGACAAGATAACGCATCTCTGATAGTTAGCCTTGAAGTGATTCAACCCAGATATGATCAACCGGTACTGAGCAGAACTCGTCTTGGTTGGGTCATTCATGGACCATATGCACAGTCAAATCAAGAAAATATAGTCGCGATTGTGAATTTATGCAGACATGGAGATAATGATTTGCAAGAGCTAATAGAAGATAATTTCAGAATGGAGAATGCATATAGATCAAACGATATGACAAAATATTCAGAAGAAGATAAAAAAGCTCTAGAGATTTATGAAAAAACGATAAGAAGAACTGGAAATCATTTCGAAATTGGTATGCCCTGGAGAAGAGAACATGTTATATTCCCGGAAACTAAAAATGCTGCTTTCAATAGACTTAAATGTATGGAAAAGAAAATGGACAAGAGCCCAGATTTTGCAGAGAAATATTGTAATACAATTAAAGAATATATAGAAAAAGGTTATGCAGAGAGAATACAAGTTGATAAACAAAGCGATAATGGTAGAGTGTGGTATTTGCCTCATTTTGGTGTTCTGAATGTAAATAAGCCTGGTAAATTTCGATTTGTATTCGACGCAGCTGCCAAAGTTTCTGGAGTTTGTTTGAATGATTTTTTATTGACTGGCCCAGATTTCTACCCATTGCTGGTGTCAGTTTTGTGGAGATTTCGAGAAGGGAGATATGCATTTTGTGGAGACATAAAAGAAATGTTCCACCAAGTCCTTATTCAAAAAGAAGATAGAGCTTGTCAGCGATTCCTTTTCAGGGGAATGGATAGAAATAGAGAACCAGATATCTATCAGATGAGAGCAATGATTTTTGGCGCAGTTTGCTCCCCATCAATTGCCCAATTCGTAAAAAACTTCAATGCGAGTCAACTGCGAGACCAGTATCCTGATATAATGCGAATAATGCCTAAACAACATCATGTAGACGACTACCTTGATTGCAAAAACTCTCTCGAAGAAGCTATCATGACTGTGAAGAATGTAATCGAAGTTCACAGAAGAGGAGGATTTCAAATGGTGAACTGGTTGAGTAATTCAAAAGATATTACAGATAGTATCCCAGAAGAGTATCGATCCAAGAAAAATTCTTTGCTGAATTTAGATACCAAGAATTTAGAGAGAGTTTTAGGTCTATATTGGAATATCAATACAGATGTTTTTGTATTCAACTTAAACTTGAATTTAACTCCAACTGAGACATCACAAAACGATCAGAAACCAACAAAAAGAAAAATTTTGAAACTTGTCATGACTATATTTGATCCTATTGGTTTCATATCTCCACTTGTTGTTAAGGGTAGATTGATCTTTCAAGAATGTTGGAGACAGAGCTTGGAATGGGATGAAGGAATTCCAAATGAACTCAATGAGAAATGGCAAAGATGGTGTGAGGACGTGCAGAAAATTGAGAATTTCAAAATACCTCGGTGGTATTTCAAAATAGACCCTGATGAAGTGGAATTACATGTATTTTGTGACGCAAGCGATAGGGCCTATTGTGCAGTCGCATACTACAAACTGAAGAAATCTGCAGAAATATCTTTTGTATCATCTAAATGTAAATTTGGACCTTTGAATAAAGTTACGTCCATACCAAGAATGGAATTGCAAGGTGCTGTAATTGCTGCTAGATTAGGGCATCTCATTCAAAAAGAAACCAATTATTTTATCATTCGAACTTGTTGGTGGACTGATTCTGAGATAGTGTTGAAATGGTTGAATTCGAAAACCTGTCGACTGAAACAATATGAAGCACATAGGGTTCAGGAAATCACGGAATTAACCAAAATCGAAGACTGGAGATGGGTACCTTCATCAATGAATCCTGCTGACTTGGCTACAAAAGGAGGAAATTCTTTAGAATTAATGCCAGACGGAATGTGGTTTCAAGGTCCTGCATTTTTGAAACAACGAATCGAGAACTGGCCAAAATGTACTGTACGAATTGAAAATTCGATGCCGGGACCTTCAGAAGTAGCATGTTTATTATCTACTATACAGATTTTGGAATTACCAGATTCAGCAAGATTCTCAAAATGGTCTAGATTCCTTCATACAGTTGCATGGATAAAGCGATATATCGAGAATTTGAAGAGCACGTATTCACAGAAGGAAAATTCATATCATGGAACATTATCGGTGGAAGAAATTAACATAGCGGAAGCAATAGTTTGGAAAGGAATTCAACAACGTCATTTTATGGAGGAAATTAAAGCATTGAGTAAAAAAGATGAAGTAGATAGGAGCTCACCTATATATCAGTTATCGCCGTTTTTAGATGAAAATTCAATTTTGAGAATGGATAGCAGAATAAAATATGCTGATGTGGAGTTCAATACAAAATTTCCAATAATTCTACCATCGGAGAAGAAAGAAAGAGTGATACAGCTATTGATACAGCATTATCATGAAAGAATCCATCATACTGGACATGAAACAGTAGTTAATAACTTGAAACAAACTTTTTGGATAGTTACTCTCAGACAATCTGTTAAAAATGTCATTCGAAATTGCCAGTTTTGCAAGAATAGACGGGCAAAACCTGTACAACCAGAAATGGCTCCATTGCCAGAATATCGTCTGCAGCAGTTTGTTAGACCATTCAGTTATTGTGGCTTGGATTATTTTGGTCCGATCCTAGTAAAAGTTAAACGATCAATAGAGAAACGCTATGGTGCTCTTTTCACATGTTTGAATACGAGGGCAGTCCATTTAGAAATTGCAAATTCATTGTCCACAGACTCAGCGTTGATGGCCATCGGAAGGTTCATAGCCAGAAGAGGAAAA